TGTGAATGGCTTCCCGCCAGTGACTTCCCACTTCTCACTGCACTCTCACTGGACATGTGAGAGGAGAGCCTTCCTATGGAAGAAAGCCTTTGACTGCGAGAGAAGAGGGAGCAGGTAAGCAGCCCGGGAAGCTGGGGAGAACCTGAAGATATGGGGTAGGAAGAAAAGGTGTCAGAAAAGTAATGGCCTGAGATGAGACTATGAAACTCTGGAGGGAGGCCAGGAAGAAGAGGGCACATAGCTCCATTTCCTCCTTGTGTGGAGGAGAACGGAAGACACCACTGCTCCAAATGTTCTGTGCTTTGGAAGCTTTTGAACTCTCAGGCAGCTCCTGGCTCTGCAGCTCAGGCTGGCCTTGGATTTGTGAGCTTCCTGGTGTTGCTTCTTCCATGTGGGTATTATAGCACTACAATACCAATCAGCAGATGCTTTGTTTGTGAATTTATTGTGTGCATAGTTAGTGTGTGTATGTGGGTATGTGCATGAATATGTGAGTGTACATGTACCCGTGTGCGTGTGTGTGTGTGTGTGTGTGTGTGTGTGTGTGTGTGTGTGTGTGTGTGTGTACACGGGTATATGGCAGGAATTAGTGTGTGTGTGTGTGTGTGTCTGTCTGTCTGTGTGTGTGTGTGTGTGTGTGTGTGTGTGTGTGTGTGTGTGTGTACACGGGTATATGGCAGGAATTAGTCCTCCATGACCCCCACCTCATATTTTGAGACAGTCTGTCACTGAGCCTGGAGCTCACTGATTAGCTAGAATGCCCAGCTCTAGGCATCCACCCATCCCCACCTCCCCAGTGCTAATGTTATTGAACATACCACCACACCCAGACTTTACATGGGTTCTGGGGATCTAAACTGTGGTCTCCATTCTTGTGCAGCGGGCTCTTTATGGATTGAGTCATGTCCTCAGTCCCTGGTTGCTTGATTTTTCATACACATAATCTGAGGTGCCAGTGGGTTTGAGCAGCAGATGTAGACATATCAGGGATGCATGAATATATTGCAGACTTGAAAGGTCCCAAATTAAATTTTACAGGAGGAAACATAGACGTAGAGAGATCAGTTATTGCGATGGTGATAACATTTTTTATGTGACCAATGCTTACCTGCCATTCCTATATCAATAACTTTACCTCAATTAAGAAAAAGATATCATCAGGCCTGAGCAAGTTAAGAGTGAATTTGCTTTCTCTTTCCACCATCTCTCTGAAGAGGAAGACAGACCTCTGTCTGTTTCTCTGTCTCTTCCCCCTTTCTTTTCTCCCCGTCTTTCTCTTTTTCTTCTCTCTCCTTTTCCCCACCCGCTTCCCTTCCCAATAAAACTTCCATTCCATGTTTTAAAAAAAGAGTGAATCTGCATCTGAATGTGAGAAATATCTCTGCTAACAAGAAGGGAGCAACATGTACACATCATTTCTCAGGAGCCTGGGAAGAGGCAGCCTGATGGACGGACAGCTCAGGATCCATAGACCCCTGGAAGCCCAGCAGCTGTGCAGTGCAGCTGGCAGCCATCACCATGGCAACATGCCCTCCCAGGAGAGCAGCTTGGTCCATGGAAACCAACCATCATTTAAAAATTAACGCAGATGATCCTGCATTGGATTCTCTACAACAAAAACCATTTTTATAGAAATGCCCTTTCTAAGGACATAATTGGAACAAATGAGCAAATTTGAATATAGATTGTGAATTGGGTGGGTGGTTCTCAAACGTCAGCTTGTTTCAGACTCACCTGGTGAGCTTGTCAAAACACAGATGGCTGAACCCCACCCCCACAAAGTCAGATTCAGTATGACTGGGCTTCCAGCCAGGACTGTGTTTCCAACAAGTTACCAAGTGGGTCTGACGCTGCAGATGTGAGGTTCCGATTGGGAATTACAGGGGCTTACATACTCACACCGTTTCAGTGCCAATTTCCCAACTTTTTATCACTTTAACTGTTGTTAAGAAAGAGAAGGCCTCTGGCCTTAGAAAACACAGTAGCTATTTGGGACAAGATTGGGTCTGGAACTTTGTATTACTTAGCTTTTTGTTGCTGTAACAAAATCCCTGAGAAAGTCAATTCAAAAGCAGGAAAGATTTACTTTAACTCCTGGTTTCAGAGGTTCCAGTCAGTAGTTGATTGTCTCTATTGCTTTGGGTGCTGATGAGACAGATCATTATGGTGGGGAGCACATGGCTGAGAGAAGACACTCCTACCTGGCATCTGGGAGGAAAGAGTGTGAAGGAGGCTAGCATTCTGATTCACCTCAAAGGGATGATGTCAACGTCCCCTCTTTCTCCTACGGCTCCACTTACTAAAGTTTTCACCACTTCCCAATAAGTAGGATGGGCAACTAAGCCTCTGTATCACATGGGCCTCCAGGAGATAGTCAAGCAGTTCAAGATGCAAACTACAGCATGTTTATTCTCAAGTAGTTCAGGAAGATAGAGTTCAGCTAGATAGAGTGTGTATAAATGGAAAAGAAAGAATGGAGCAAATGTGGACCACACAGAGCAGTAAAACTGGGAAGTCTGGGGAATGTGAGAGATATGAGTAGTCTCACAACTGGTATGGAAGCTCAAAATTACAGTAAATTAAAAAGCCAACAACAGAATTAGCAGAGGAATAGAAGAGCATGCCAGCTACACTTGTCACATGTCAGTCACTAGCTGCATGAGCCACTCCATTTTAATTAAAATTAAACAATAAAGTTTGTTTACATCAAATTCCTTAATTTCAAAGGCAAAAAGTCAGCATGACTAGAGGTGACTATGGCAGAAGGCACCAGCACAGGCCACTTTCCGAGCACCTTCTACTGAGCAATGCTGACTTCAGCCAAGGGTGTTTTGAGATAAGGAAAGCATCATTACAAAAATTTAGTGTGCCCTCAGGTGTGGTAGCCAATACCCACAGTCTCATTGCTTGGATATGGAGGCAGGGGGATCAGGAGTTCAAGACCAGGTATGGCTACATAGTGAATTCAGGAACAGCCTGAATTATAGAGACAATATGTCAACATTTTATAAATACATGAAGTGTGCCAAAATCACCAGAGGGGATGATGATCATCATATGTAGTAACAGTCGACTGTTTTTCTGAAAGAAAAGCTTATCAACTAAAGGAGCTAAAAAAAGAAAAAGTATTAAATAATAACAGGTAAATTATAGCATAGCTACATTGGAAACACATTTTCCCGAGTGGCTACACTACTCATCTGATGAGTGATTTTTCTTGACAATCCATTAAATAAAAAAGTCACATATCTAAGTAACTGGTATTCATCATTACCACCCCTCTCTCCTCTCTCTCTCTCTCTTTCTGTCTCTCTGTCTCTCTCTCTCTGTCTCTCTCTCTCTCTGCATACGTATATATCTGTATATCTGTATATCTGTATATCTGTCTGTCTGTCTGTCTGTCTGTCTGTCTATATCTCTGCCTCTTCCTCACACCCTCTCCTCCAAAGAGAGAAGGAGCAAGCCAGGAGACTGGCTAAAGGAGGAAGGGCAAGGTTTGGAATACTTCAAGTTCATTCAGATGAATGTGACCACTGGTTTCTTAGTGGTTGATGTACTAGCAGATGTGAAAGCATCACGGGTGGTTTGGGTACAGTCTCTACTCTTCCTTCTGTCTCTCAGCCATATGGCACCCTCAGCTTCCATCTGGTTGTCCAAGTTCCTGAAGCAAAACAAGCTTGCCTTCTGCTCCAAAGAGAGACTTCTTTCTTCCTAACATAAATTCTTTGGGGTTCCAGGGCCACCCAAGTGATGAGCTGACTAATTTTACTTTCCATGGTTTCAAGTCCTCCTAAGAAGTATTTGGACAGCCTAGCTCGAAGACTGTCTAGGCATTAATTTTAAGCATGACATCTTCTATTATGCTCTGCCTGACACAACCCCAGTCACCCAGCCTAACCCTAACCTCTGAGTGTAAGCACAAAGATCCACACCACAGCCTCATACTGTCTATCTTCTCCTCTCTCATCGTCCTATGCTCATTTGAGACTCAGAAAAAAAAGCTGTTACTTCGAGAGAACAGAGAGTAGCAGAGAAAACTGCAAATACTAAGCCATAATTCACAAGTCAATAAATAGGACAGACTTCTCTAGGGGAAAGGATATCAAGCAATAGAACTGGAAATCAAAATTTGAACTATGCCTCCGCTGTGCCCAGGCCTTGGTTAAGAGTCTAGATGTCCATCCAAGCATTCATTACATTCTCATAGGATGTTTTGGCAACCTGCCCCGAGTATATGTAAAAGCATTCCTCTGTGGAGATTCCTTCTTAGATATTCACTCTGACTGATTTGCCAAAGGGGGAAAAACAATCATTAAAAGTGAGTTTGTCTGTTGTGGAAGAGAATATGGGAATTCAGGGGCTGGTGGTCCAAGAAAGTGTGCTACGATTGGCGCCCAATCATGGCGCAGAGACTTACTATTAATTATGAATGCCTGACTTTAACTTACTTAGGCTTGTTTCTAGCTAGCTTTTTGTAAAACCTAAATTAACCCATTTATGCTAATTTATGTGCATCCCCAAGGCTTGTTTACCTCATCTATGAACTCTCTATCCTGCTTCCTCCATGTCTAGCTGGCTGGCCACTGGCTGGATGACTGACTCCCTTTTCTCTCTGCCTGCCAGCACCACCTATCCCTCCTCTGTCTAGCTAGTGGCCATTCAGCTTTTTATTAAACAAATCAGACCAATCAGGTGCCTTAGGTAGACAAAGTGAAACAGCAACACATCTTTACATAGTTAAACAAATGCAGCATAAACAAAAGCAACACATCTTTACATAGTTAAACAATTACTCTGCAACACAACTTTATATAGTTAAACAAATATTCTATTCCACATTTGTCAGTTCCTTAGAGAAGACTATTCTTAGCTATGAGACATAAGACACCAGACCTTTAGAATTCAACTTGCTGTTTGATAACAAAATTTTTGAAATGTCTCTCTAAATAAAATTACCATGTAACAGATTTTTATAAATATTTCTGAGAGGAGAGTCTCACCTCACAGTATTCTGTGATAATGCAAAAATTATCCTGCTCCATGAAACTTGCATAGAACTTGACAATGGCTGGATGATTTAGCTTGGAAAGGAGCTGGGCTTCCACGATGGCCTGAACAGTTTCATTCGGTTTTAATTCTCCAACAGAGATTTCCTTGAGTACCTTTCTGAATCCAAAAAAGAAAAAAATATATTAAAAAGAAATGAAGAAAGAAGGAAAGGAAGAATGAAAGAGAGAAGAGATAAAGAAAAGAAGGAAGAAAAGAAAGACATTAAGAGTTGGAAAATACATTTAACACGTATGAGCAAGTAGTACAGAGCCCCCTCACTATGGCCAGATGGTCAGCTGCTCAAGGGTCTAGTTCTGCCTGCTATAGTACTGATGCCCTGGGCCTACTCCGTATCCTGGTCAGTACCATGGTGTACCACAGCCTCTGACCTCCACACCTATTCTCTACAGATTTAAGGATAGACATGGAATCTTGAGCACCATTGCTGGGATGTTCCTCCTCTGTCTCATTAGACATTTGGTTCTTTCATGGTGTTTCTTTCCATCTGTGTGTTCCATTTTGTTTGTATCTGCTTATCTATTGTCACCACTACTTTTTTATTTCTGTCTTATACATCCTCCTTCTCTCACTCCCTTTGTGTGTCTTACTCTATTGTGTAATATTCTCTCCCTTGCTCTCACTCACTCTTGACCTCACTCTCTCTGCTCTAAAATGTTCCCAAACCTATCAATTGAATGTTAATCAGAATACACGATATTTATTTATTTATTCTCACCTAACTGTCCTTGGCATGCCATGCTTTATTACTGGCAGGAATTAGGAAGACAAAGTTCTCACTGAAAACACTGATAGAGATAGTGAGAATTTCTATCCTGGATAAATGGAAGAGCTCATTAAATCTCCAAATTATTCATTTAAAAATTGTGATAGCACCATGAAGAGCAGACCAAAATACTACTTCTCCCTATCCAAGAAAAATAGTCTGATGAACAAACCAATTATAGTGCCACACTGTAAACTAGATCGCCTGGGGACAGCACTTTAGCACGCCAATTACACTGTGCAGACAGATGCTGCTGATTGCCAGGGAGCCTGGCAGCTCATTAAGGCAAGTTCTGTAGGACTCCTGCTAGAAAACACTTTGCAAAAACTGTTAAGAGTTACTACCTCGGCATATTAGAAGAAATGCTTAATTAAAGACTGTAACCCACTCATAGGCTAGCATCAGACCCCAGTCATGTCTAACAGGTGTTTACTCTGCCCTTGCCAAATGGAGTACCCAAAGCTGGCAGACTCTCTGGCATGCCCATGCACTTCTTTCCTGTTCAGGAGATGCAAACCCAAATCATTGGGTTTAATTCCAGATCTGTTTCTGCCAGTGTACTCACTATTATGAATTTACATATGACATAAACTAATGGATGATAAGTATCACTTTGCCCGTGCTAGGAAAAAATAAACCAAACAAAGGCTTACCAAAAATGTTTCACAATGACAAGTGGCAAAAATCATACTTTCATGTCACTGGCAGGCCAGTTATTAATGGAGTAAGCTTATAAAACTGTATTCTGAACTCAGATTTCTAAGTTCTCAATCTATCCTGTAAAAGATAAACCTGGATAAATCTATAGGGGTGTGCTCTATGAAAAAAAAAATCTGCAGGGGAATCTAATGAAGGATTTTAGATTTTGATAATATATAATGAAGTTGGAGATGCGAAATGTTTTAACTTTATCTTTCAACGGATGTCATTCCAATTTACTAGTTGTTTCTTCCACCCATCCAAGTACCAGCCCCAAATACATGAAATAGAGTGCTACAAGCTTTTCATTGATGCAGACAAGTCTTTCCCTCCAGCTGTATTACTGCAAAAGAATAGCAATCGCCTCGGGCAATGCTAGACCTTACTGCTTCAGTCAGACCTGGGGCTCAGAAGTTTTGCAATTGCAGTCAGTGTGGTATTATAGACATCTGAGTGACAATCTATGGTTTGGATGTTTTCAGTAGCATTATAAATTAAGAGGGCAGGCATATGCTTCAGTATCAGTTGCACAAGAATGAGAAACTAGGTTTGGATCCCTAAATATCAAGAATAATCTGTATATGGTAGATAAAGGGACCCATGGGGCTCACTGGCCAGCCAGTCTAGACAATCAGTAAATTCTAGGTTGAATGAGAAACTATATCTCAGAAAGGAAGGTAGAGAAGTGATTGAACAAGACATCTCCTTGCCAACTCAGTTCCTGGAAAATCTACAAATAGGTAAAAGTTTCTCCAGGGCTCCCACATCCTGCTGAATCAGCCTGACACTGAGCAAACAGACATTTTTATCACGGTCACCTGATGTCCCAATAAGTCACCAGATGCTCTAACAGAAATTTCCAAATGTTTACTTAACTCCAGTGCCAAATGACCCAAGGAAGCATCCCTCTGAACCAATCAGAAAACACCAAGGCTTGTACTCCCCTAGCATGAGGGGGGATTCCCTTTACAAGCCCACTCCTCTGCTGGTTCAGGGCCGCTCCTCTCACCTGCTGCATCCAGTGCTGCTGGATGGCTTGAACTCCTCGAGTTAATAACCCCCCATGTGTTTGCATCAGTACTTGGCTCTGTGGTGGCCATGTTCAGAGGTCCCGCATCCTGGGCATAATAGCAGGTATGGGCTCTCTCCAAGAGATCTGCAGGCTTTGGCTTCCTCATCTCTTTTACAGGAGTCCCATTTTCAGTGTGTTATAATTTTAAAAATCATTTGAACATTTGGTTCTCTTCCCTAACAGGTTTTCTCACATTGGTTTCATTAGATGCTAAAGAATCTATTACACCCCTTCCTTGATAATGAAATAGATTATACAGAAATGCATGGTAGGTAACTAACATTGTATTCAAAAAAGAACAACTATTTTATTAAGACTTTTACAGGGAGTGTGAATAGGCCTGTTTTTAGAAGTGGTGCTCAGACTGTTAATATGCCCTCGAAAAAACAAAAATGACATATGAAGACACATTTTCCTCTCTAGCCTCTGAAAGGGGGTACAGCAGCAGGCAGTTTAATGACATCTTCATAGTTGCTTTCCATAATTTACCATGCCCCAGCTGGCATGCAGCTGCAAAAGTCACAGAGGTTAAGCATGGCAATATAAAAGCCTTACACAGACTTGCGGCGTTCTCTTGCTGCAAAGGAACTCCTGCTATAAAAAGCTTGAGCATGCTTATTTTCCAAGCAAGCATTAGCTACTACACAATAGAGCATGACATTTTCCATGGGGTTTTGCCCAGGCCCTGCCTGACCACTCAATGACAAAGCACAAGACTGTATTTGCCCATAGCTTAGTAGATGAAGCTGGGGCTGTTAAGATAGGTGGTATAAACCATATCATCACTAGGACACACAGACACATTCCACCTTCCTTGCCTAAAAATGTGTCACTGGACCAATAGAGGGAAACTCTCATAGAACATCAATGTGTGAACCACATCCACGCGTGGAAGCTTGCCAAGTCAAGGGCAGCTTATCACTTGCTCAGTGTCTCTCAGCCTGTCATCCCTTCCTAAGTAACATGACAGATACTTGTTTTATCAAGGCCTTGACTGTTTGGGAGAAACTTTATGACAGCAGAAAGGAGCACAGTCCCTGGGGACCCATCTCATTTTTCCAAAGCCCCTCTTCTCTTGCCTGAGTGGCATGTTGCCTTCTGAAGTTTGTAGTAAACTGACAAACTTTGTAGAGATTTTTGAAATTTGGGAAAACTGTCAGCAATTTGCTTCCCTTGAAATTAGTCCACTGTTTCCATAAATGAGACAGAGAGATGACATATTTGAGAGACTAACCCTGCACTATTCTCCCCCAAATAGCTGTGTGCTCCTTTATGACCTCCATGTTCAGCTGGAAATAGACACCGCCTCAGGACCAAGAGAGAACCACTCCAAAAATGTAACAAGGATCTCTGGCCCTTGAGTGGCCAGGAGACAAGCCTAAAAACGCAAGACTCCAGAGGAACGCCAGTGGGTGAGCACTGTCTCCACCCTCACAAGAGAAAGGTTTTCTGGACCAGGTCAAAGAGAACGGGTCAGGACACTGAAGGAAATGAAGTGTTTGTGAGCCCTCAAAAGCAGCTGAGATGCTGGAGGCCAGGCCCAGGGAGAGAGCTACACTTAGAATTCCGAGATATATTGTAGGACTCAGAGCAGAAGGCCTGCACACCCTTCCAAAGACAGAGCAGAGCAAAGTGCAGAAACCCATATTTTCCATGTCCAGCTGATGCACAAAGGCTTTCAAGTGGCTTATAAACACATGTGCCACACAGGAATCTAGAGTATCTGGGATCCCGGATGAGCCTCCCCTAAACACTGGAGATAGAAATGGCCTCCAATAATGCCATTTAGAGGTCTGCCAGTGCAATGGATGCAACTAGCCAGCTTAGAGAAAACTAGGATCATTTCCTGTGTGATTTAGTCACCAACATTCATGCTGTACACAGAGGTAAATGCCTACCAGATGTGACAGTACCCAAACACTGTGGTTCTGGTCCCTTCCTTGTGTGTCCTGGGGAAGACAAACATTAAACAGAAAGATATGTGTACATGGATACAGTATAAATATATATATTTAAAACCTTAACTTGAGATGAATGCTTCCATGTTAGGGTAAAGAGTATCTGGCGTCAGGACTACAAGGCAATGTGGTTAACAACTATGGTTCCTGTTGTCAACAAAATCACAGGATATAGGTTTTAACTTTAACTAAACAAGAAGTTTGGAGTTTTGTTTGCTTTTTAAAAACAATTCAGTGTTTAGCAAAGAAGAGTTTTAACATAGCTCTTTCCCATCATTCTAACAAGGAAGCAGATATTTTACATGCCTTTCTTAAGTAGGAAGACCTCCATTTGCCTGGGCAGCTTGTGCGAGCCACGGCTGCAACACATACCTATCATTTCAGCAGCCTTACATCCTCAGACACACCTCTACCCTGAACCCATGCTCCCATGCTTCCACAATGCGGTGAGCTATCTATTGTCCTTCACATCCAAACTAGGCAGGCTGCCAGCTCTGACCTACACCCAGGAGCCCTGAAAGATGCAGCTAAATACCACAGCAGACTTTGTGGGTGTGACAAGTCGCTATTAACACTTGAGGTGGTGAGAACTGAACTGCCAGAG